AGTACTACTTCAGTACTGTTGGCGGTTCCTTAGAAACAACAGCTTCCACTTTTGCTGTCCCACCTGAGCCGGGGACACTCTTCATTGAAGTCCCTGCTTTTCCTTGTACTCCAGTCTCGAACCTTCAGCACCTTCACAACAATGTCATTGCTCTGCCAGCGGCCTTTCCATAGCTGAAGGACAGGTAGAGGTTAGGAGGTATTAGCTCAGGCTATACTATTTCCTTTCCATTAACTGGAAGAAGACTTTAGTTAGAGATACAGAGTGGCCGTTTGTGAGTGTTAGAGAGGGAGGGGCAAGAAGGGCAGGGATCACCTCTCCAGAATGATTCTCGTTGAGCTTTGCCAGAAAGTTGAGCTGTTTGAAGTCAATACCGGAGTGTTTGTTCAGGGTCCCATTTCCTGAGAATATGGGCAGGTCAGGTACCTAGCTTTACCCTAACCCACCTCACTAGCCCAGGATCCTAAGTTAGAGCCCTTCCCCCGACAGCAGTGACTCACGGGGCCGAGTGCGAGTGGTCCCCTTCCAGAATGTGTCCTTGTATGGAATACGGTTGAGATTCTGGCCCATCTTCTCTGCCCGTTCTGGGGAGGAAAAACAGTCTTAGCCTTAACTGTGACACAGAGGGAAGAGATGCAGGACAGGACCAGAGGATGTGAGTTAGTGGACCTCGGAGAAGCTCTCTAAGGGGTGCCTTGGCTTTGTCAACTGGCATCTCTCCATACTTGTTACAGATGCTTACAAGAGCCCCGTTAGCCACCAGGTCCTGAAAAGAAAAGATAATTTTATTCAGGAGCCTCTGTTAACTGTGTCGCAAGCAAACATGAACAGAGATGCAATGTACTGTCCTGTGTCACACAGTAGGACTGACAGGATGGGTTCCACGCTCAATTTGTTTCCCACTCATCCTAGGACTTGGAGTCTTGAGTACTTACCTCTGCCACCTGGTCTTGACCCCAGAAACAGGCATAGTGAAGGGGCACATTCCCGTGCTCATTCACTGCATTGATGTCAGCCTTGTATTGCAACAGCTGTGCCCCGTGGCCAAGAAAAGAAAGAACATAGTCACAAATGAGGTATTTGTTTCTAGGCATGAGGAAAGGGAGAAAAGTACACATTCTCCATATGACAGTCCCTGCTATGTTTACAATTGTGTGCCTGTGAGATGTGGGCTTTGAAGGGTTTGCCCATACCTTCTGTACGATGTCACGGTGTCCATGACTGGCTGCCAGGTGCAGGGGGGTATCATCTCCACGATTCATCACATTGATCCGTGCTCCCCTCATGATCAGCATTTCAACCACCGCAGAGCGGCCTTCTCGGCAGGCCCAGTGCAAGGGGGAGAAGCCGTGATCATCCCTTTGAGAAAGAGGCATAGACACTAAGCTGGAGTTGGAGGTTGGGAGGGACAAAAGTTTTGATGGGAGAGTTCTATATTCACTGAGAAGGCTTCCCTCTCTAGTACTTAGTTCTTACTCAAGTCAGCAATTTCCAAAGTTCAATTCAGATTTTCCCTTGAGCTTCACACCTAAACAGTCACCCAGATGTCCCAACAACTGTAAGGTTATTATTACTTTAATGACCATCTCCCAGAGCCTCTTCCCCAGCAGCTCTTCATTAGGTGCTAACACTCTTCCTGGACTCTTTGGCTTTTTCTGCCTCCTTGTTTGACAGTATTAGTCAAACCCAGGGTCTTGTAGATACTTGGCACATGCTACACCACTAAGCTGTATCTCTAGCTCATACATCTTTAGCAACACCTATAACCCTTTGTTTGCACTGCTTCTTGCGCCTCTCTTTATTATAGACTTACACTGACTGGGCTGTGAGGATCTGTTGCTGTGAGCTGCTTGTCTTGCCTGTTAAAGAATATGCTTGAGGATAGTGTGGCAGCTGATGTTCTTTCCAGGCAAGTTAATGATGGGACAGGGGCATATTGGAGCGGGCAGGCCATAACTTAGGAAAGGGAATAAGCTTATTATTTGGCTCTGGTATTGAAACTAACATCTAAAAATGGAATGAATTAAAATGTTTGGGAGGGGTATAATGACAAGGAAACATGCTTTTGATTACTGATGAGGCAAACAATAACACAAAACAGGATTTTCCTACTTACCAACCCGGGACACACAAGAGAAAACATAAATGGAAGCTTTAAAATGAACACTTTGTGTTTTCATTCCCTAAGAACATATATTTTATAAAGAGAAGTGTACAAACAAAACAATTGGGTGGGCTGGGTGAAACTGACAGCCTGGAGCCATAAAAGGAAATTCCCTCCAGTCCAGAGATGCGATCTAAGGGGCGGAACAGGGGGCGGTCTGTGGTTTAGGCCTGCAGCCTCCAGATGCCTGAGTGCTGTGGTCACTTCCTGTGAGGGGGCTGGAGGAGGAGCCTTAAGCTGATCCAGACTTGGTCACCCAGAACCCCCCAACAGCTGAAGGAGGTATGTAGCTTTAAAAGAATTGTTCCTCCAGTTAGCCCTCATCTGCTAACATAATCAGCAAAACCTTTCCCAGGATGTGAGTATATCCTTGCTATCAGTCTTGTCTCCCAGACTGTTCATGTGTTCTGACATAACAGCCTCCGGCAGTCTTGGCCTCAGAGTAAGCCCAAGTTTAGAACAAAAATAAATGCAGAGTTTTGCTCACTGTCACCCCAGGGCCTAGATTTCTATCTCAAGAAAGCCTGTAGGGAATTAACCACCACCAACATACCTTGTTCCCCTCAAGCCACCAAATCTTTCTGGTTTCCCTAATGATACCCTTCCACCTTTTGACAGCAAGGAATCTCACAAAATGCCACTCCCACCGGACAACAGCCTAAACTTCTATTTCCTTACCAACAAAACATGGCTCAGTGTGTACCAGGGCATCCGAGTCATGTGGAAAATGAAACAACTGAATATTACAGAAAAATAAAACAGCCTAGAGGGAACTGGTGAAACCTGGCCTAAGATGACAGATGATCCTTTACTACCTAAAAAAGTACACTCTTCTAGTCACACATGGTGACAGAAAACTAAAAACCCAGTACTCAGGAGGCTGAGGCAGTAGGATGGAGAGCAGGAGGCCACTCTGAACTACATGACACCCTGTCTCCAAAAGCAAACCAACACTACCTACTAAACTTGTTCAGCAATGCTTTTCTTGCTTTCCTGTATCAGCCAGCATTTTAGAAAGTGTCATATTTTCTCCGTTTCCTCACTTCTCATTCCCTTTTCTGCCCTCCAGGAGCCTGCCATCTCAAGGGCATTGACTGTGATTTACAGACTCTAACACCACAGGTGGTGTTCCTTATTTGAAGGAACCCAGTATAATGCAGTTTCCTGTTACTTTTCTGAAATTTCATTTACAAGATCAACTATAGCCTAAATGTAAGTTAGCTCATGTTCTTTAACTCTCAGAAGCCTATGCACAAGTGACCAGTCTCCTTTCATTAAAACATTCTCTAATCTTAACCAATTTTTCTATTTCTCCTTCAAATGGTTGATCCCTGTCAGTCGGACAGGCTTCTAATCCTCTGCCTTAATTTCTTACTCTTCTGAGGTACTATTTTTCACACTATAGAATCTTCAGATACCATCTAAATGATAATTTGTGGTATCTTGGTCTCCCAGTCAGACCTCTCATGAAATTCAAATCTACATAACTAACAACCTGCCCAACATTTTCTAATTGCTGTAGTGTCATCATGACTGTATCAGTCCAGAACTTCCAAGTAACCAAGTGTCCAAAGCTCACAAACCCCAGGTCATCTCTGACTACCCTCAGTTCCCATGCTGAGTCAATTTCTTCATCCTTATGACTCGGGAGAACCTCACCACTTCTAGTTTTCAACTGTCCCAATTCTAGTCCAAAACATCACTTCAAGGCAACTTCCAGGATGACACTAGACAAATGGGCAGTCTCCATCACTACACAGCTTCAGAGCTTTGCTTACAGACATCTGTCCTTTTCCACTTCTATCCAGTGCTCTAGGGCACTGAAACCTATTCTCCAAACACATGGAATTCCAGGCAATTTCCTGGCACTCTGGTCTGCCTTTGACATGAGTTCACAGAGGCTGCAAAGCAACCCGGAACCCCTGATTGTGAAGCTTAGTTAAAAAATTCAGTTCAGACACAGCTTCCTCTATGTAGATCCCTCTCCAACAGTCTGCTTACTATACTCCTCACACTGGATAGCAGTCAGCTGCCCCCGCCCGACAAGAGCACCCCACATAGCGGAGAGTGGACTGAAAGCCGTTCTCTCACTCTCCAGCGCTACAGCTCACCCCTGATTGAGGTCGTTCTCTGTGTTGTCCAGCCACAAGCGCACCGCTACCGCGTTGCCCTCCCGGCACTGAGTGAAAATGTCGTCCATAGCGGCGACCCAGCACGGAGACCCGGGACTGGAGAAGCCTTGGGGAACTGCAGGAAAGCAGAGACAAGAGGATGAGCTCAGCTCTGTTCTCTGCAGAACAGAAGTGTCTGCGCTGGGATGGGGGGCTAGGCGTTGCGAGAGTGATAGTGGCTGTCTGTGAAGGACTTAGGGTAGCGGGGCGACCACTGGGAGCGAGGGACAGGCGGGGTGTGGCGGTGTAGGAGGGACTTTGCTAATCTTCTGAGCCGGTGTCAGTAGGCACCGAGTCCCGACCCGCGAGCACGGCTGGGGGAGGAGGGGGGAACAAGTTGCAAACACCCGGAGGAGAAGACGAGACAGAAGTCCTTCCCGGGCGGCCCCGGCTCCCAGCTCGTAACCGCCGCAGAGATCGTAGAGACGGGCTTGCAGGACCAACGTGGGGCAGGGCGCAGAGACACCCGCACTCACCGGGACTCGGGCCGCAGGCGCCTTCTCCGGGGAACTCCCGTCCGGCCGCGCCCGCCGCCCGGCCCCGCCCCGGCCCTCTCCGGCCAGAACGGGCCACCGTCCCTCCCTTCCGACCTCCTACTGCCTCTCTAGCTCCCAGCAGCTGCACTCGATGGTGCTCTGCTCCGCGCCAGCCGCTCTAGCCACCACAGGCTTTCGCTCGGTGGCTTCCGGCTGGATTTGGTCTGGGGCCAGCACTAGGAGTCTCTGACCGGCTTTGCACGTGGTCGCGGCGTGGGCTCCTGCGACCCTGCCGTCCACTGGCATGTTCGAGGAGCCCGAATGGGTCGAGGCGGCCCCAGCAGCCGTGGGTCTCCGGCCGGCAACAACACAGACTCGGCCGGCGACTGCCCCGCCAGTCAAGGTGAGGGGCCAGGGACTGGGCTGTTTGAGGTGGCGAAACTACCCTCCCGAGCCGCCCTTGTGCGTGCTGGGGAGAGGGAGAGCCAGCAGTGCTGTCGTGGATCGGGATGGAGATAGTTAGTCCTTATCTGAAGATCCGGAAACTCCCCAAAAAACTGACCCTAAAATACGCTTGGTGAGAAGTTGGTACAGAGAAGAACGTGCCTGAGACGGAGAGAAACGTGGAGAAGCCCGGGGGCAGCCACACATGGAGTTAGAGTGTATCTAGATAGGAATGCGGGGTTCGGAGGGTGGAGCACAGAGTAAACCAAAGGTTTGAAAAGTAAGTTTTTGGTAGGGCGTCGGTGGTGCACGCCTTTAATCCCAGCACTCGGAAGGCAGAGGCAGGCGGATCTCTGTGAGTTCGAGGCCAGCCTGGTCTACAGAGTGAGTGCTAGGACAGGCTCCAGAGCAATACAGAGAAACCCTGTCTCGAAAGGCAAAACAAAACAAACAACAACAAAACAAAGAAAAGGACCTTTTTATATACTAAGGGTAGAAGTCAATGGAGTCGTTGTAGCAATGGAGTGGTTTCTCCACATTTTCTATCACCCGGCATCACTTTACACTGGAGATCAGTTCCAGGCCTTCAGCATGGTAAACAAGCATTCACCACTGAGCTGCACCCCCAGCTTGGAAAGGTTCTTAGTAGTACTATAGAAAGTATATTGGACACAGTCAAAGCAGGTGGCAGGGAAGGTTATCAGAGTCACTATTAAAAGCAGGTATGGGGAACCCAGAACTTTTGAGGTAAATGCCTGGCCAAAGATCAGCAGCAGGACTTGAACCCCAAGTCAGCTTCCCAGAAAATAGGTCTTTTCCTTTGAGCCTCATCGGATGTGAGAGCTACTGTACCTCCATAGGGTGTTCTTTTCATCTCTGTAGCCTATCCTTCTAATGCAGGCCGCTGGCCTGCCTGTGTGCAGCCTCAGCCTACCAGGCTGTTATCTCTACCGCAGTTAGGATCATCTTTAATAGACACTGTGATGCTGTCCTCCCTGTTTCAAGAAACCTCTCTGGTGCTCCTGGAATGCTGTCACCTGCGGTCTTGTCTTGATCCTGTGGTTTGTGACCTTAGCACATTCCTTTAAGGAGCATCACCTGACAGTCTTTTACACACTTAAAAAAGCAGGCTGGAAGCATGTTGCCACTCTCCAGCTTCCCAGAGCGTGGGATTGCAGCTTGAAAGTTCTGGGCTTGGCATACTTTACAAACGGCTGAGAAGAATCACCAGTATCTGAACCATATCCCCATCTCCCCTTACTTAGTCTCTAGACCCCATCCATTCTCACACCTACTCTCATCCTTTGCTTGCCTCTAGGGCCGCAAGCGCCGCCATCTCTTGGCCACATTACGGACTCTGGAAGCAGCATCTCTTTCCCAGAAATCCCCCAGCCCACCTGGCAGTGATTCTGAGGAGGAGGAGGAGGAGGTAGGAAGGAAGAAAAAATACCTCCAAAGGCCCTCACTGGCCAACGCCTCGAAGGAAGTAGGGGAGAAAAGAAAAAGAAAATGTCAAAAACAGGTGTCATCTATCAGTGACACTGAGGGCAAGTGCCACACACAAACTCTCCTTGGTGGGATCTCTGCTAAAGAAGAAAAAGGAAAGAAGAAATGTCAGAAATATTCTCATTCACACCCAACCCAGCACCTGAACAATGTTGACCACACAGGTACCAGTATATGTGTATATGGGGGGGGGGTTGTGAGCTAACTGCATAGATGACAAAGGTCTCTCTCTTTCTCTCTCTTTCTCTCTCTCTCTCTCTCTCTCTCTCTCTCTCTCTCTCTCTCTCTCTCTCACACACACACACACACACACACACACACACACACCCCATGGGCTGGACATAAAAGGCACTTTTGCCGGGCATTGGTGGGGCACGTCTTTAATCCCAGCACTCGGGAGGCAGAGGCAGGCGGATCTCTGTGAGTTCGAGACCAGCCTGGACTACCAAGCGAGTTCCAGGACAGCCTCCAAAGCCACAGAGAAACCCTGTCTCGAAAAACCAAAAAAAAAAAAAAAAAAAAAAAAAAAAAAGAAGGCACTTTTATCCAGGCCACAGACTTCACAGACTTTGCCTCACGGACAAGGGAAAAGCCAGGATGACTTGCCATGCCTTTGAGTTTAGGGAATCAAGCTTCAAATGCCGTCTCATCTTCCTCTCAGCAGTTCACACGTCGAGGACAAGTACGGCTCCAGTTAACCCACCCAAGCGAGGCCCCGAGTCCACACCCTGTGACTCCTCACATACGCTGAGCCGCAAACAGTGGCGGAACCGACAGAAGAATAAGCGGAGACACAAGAACAAGTTTCGACCACTTCAGACACCAGACCAGGTTCCTCCAGACCAGGTTCCTCCCGTGGCTTCCACAGAGGAGACTGAGGTGCCTCCTGCCCCAGAGTTGGACAGTCAGCAGACTAGAGCCGGAGCCCTTCGGGCACGCATGACGCAACGGCTGGATGGGGCCCGATTTCGATACCTTAATGAACAGTTGTACTCAGGGCCCAGCAGTGCTGCCCAGCGCCTCTTCCAGGAAGACCCCGAGGCTTTTCTCCTCTATCACCGGGGCTTTCAGAAACAAATGAAAAAGTGGCCACTGCACCCAGTGGATCGTATTGCCAAAGATCTCCGACAGAAGTAATGGGAGGTGGAGTCGGGTCTGTGGGGTATGTGAGGGTGAAGTCGGTGATCAGGGACTTGGATCTGACCAGTGTGTGACCCCCCTTCCCCTCCACACCCAGGCCTGCATCCTTGGTGGTAGCTGACTTTGGCTGTGGAGATTGCCGCTTAGCTTCAAGTGTCCGGAACCCTGTGCACTGTTTTGACTTGGCCTCTCTGGACCCCAGGGTCACCGTATGTGACATGGCCCAGGTAAGCACCTCTGTGTGTCTGGCCTGTGATTTTTCTAACCCTTCCTGCTCTTCCCATCCTATTATCCAACTGAAGCACTTGGTGCTGAATTTCCCTTTCACAACACCGTGTGCTCTGTCTGACCCGCCTCATCGTCAGGTGCCTCTGGAGGATGAATCTGTGGATGTAGCTGTGTTTTGCCTTTCACTGATGGGAACTAACATCAGGGACTTCCTTGAGGAAGCAAATCGAGTGCTGAAGCTGGGGTGAGTCCCTAGGACACGGATGAATTTTCGTGTGCATGCGTGTGTCTCCACCTTTACTCATGACTTCCTCCTTCTCCCAGGGGTCTGCTCAAAGTAGCTGAAGTCAGTAGCCGCTTTGAGGACATTCGGACCTTTTTGGGGGCTGTGACCAAACTTGGCTTTAAGGTCATCTACAAGGTAAGGGTCCCAAGAAGCTTTTCGGGGTAATGGTGTTCAGAAAGGAGGCCGTAGCCACAGAGATAGACATTTTGCTCTTTCAAGGCAAAACTCTGGGAGGAGCTATAGGAAGCTCTCTGAGCTGGGGAAACTCAGAGGCCAGACTGAGGTGAGGATTTGTTAACTCACTGGTGTTTTCTGCTCCTAGGACCTGACCAACAGCCACTTCTTCTTGTTTGACTTTGAAAAGACTGGGCCTCCTCGAGTAGGACCCAAAGCCCAGCTGTCAGGCTTGAAACTTCAGCCCTGTCTCTACAAGCGCAGGTGACCAAAGGACACCTGTTAAAGGGGGGGGGGCTCAGACTCCAAGCTCAGAACTCTGAAGACTGTACCTACCCAAGCTATGAGCCAGGACCTGGCGCCGTCCTCCTGTATCAAGAACACTGGTAAAGCCTTCTGCTCAACTCTACTCTAATGGAGCCTTCTTGGCTACGCAAAGCATGCTCAAGAAGGAGGAGTTTATTGTGAGGGCATTGGTGTATCTGGGAATTGTGGGTCACTTCAGATGTCATGTAAACTAGTTGGCTTGGAATCGATGGATCTCTGTTTGGTTTTCTTCATCTTTCAGAAGGCACAAGGACACTCCACTGTGCCGTCTTCTGACTGTATGGTCTAGCCTCTGCTCATCCATAGTTTCTGCTCCTTCAGCTTCAAGACTACAGACACACAGCTTTTGCCTCATGGCAGGTCCCAATGCTAGTTTGCCAGTTGGGGCTGGCAGTTATTTCTTTCTTTCTTGGAGCTGAGAATCATTTAATGTCTTTCTGTTGTTGTTGCTTTGAGAGGGCATCTCACACAGGTCCAGGCTACCTTAAATGGCAATTCTCCTGATTATGGGGGTTCCAGGCGTGAGCCACTGTACCCAGGTTAATCTCTTCATCTCTGAGTATTTCATTTCTCATTTGAAAAATGTAAAATTCTTGTGGTACAGCATGCTGTATGGGTTAACTGAGGAAAGCTGCAGCAAGAGCTGGGGACATAAGAGGCGCTAAATAAATCAGCTATGGCTGTTGTGTGTTGGTGATCCTACCGTTCTTTAAAGATCACCCCTAAGCTGACTTGGAGGTTGAGTAAATGGTTTCATTGTGACCGAGAAAGCCTGGGAAAGTTGGTATAGGCATGTGATAGGTATTTGCTGTTTAGAGGCTTACTGCATTGGAAGCTTTCCTTGGGAGGGGTTGATGAAGCAGCTGCGTCTCTGTTCATAAGCAACAGCTGAGTGGGCTGCTCATTGGCAGGACCTGGCCCTAGGGCCTCCCTTGCATGTCAGGAAAACTACAGGCAAGAAATAAAGTGCTGAGGGAAGATGAGCTAGGACCACATGCTGAGCTCATCCCGAAGGTATCTATCTGCCTTGCATCCAGGTACTGAAGATACAGCCTCTTCTACCCATTCACAAAAACAAAACCTCACAGTTCCCTCTAGGAGCAAATAGGTCTCAGGATTCGGAACCAATTAAATGCCCCCAGCCCTAAAGGAATAAAGATTTTGAAAAAGACACAGGCCGGAAGGCATGTTTGGAGGCTGGACTATGAGGCCAACCTTAGCAGACACCATATAATGTCTTTGTTTATAATGTTGCTGCTAAGCGTGCATCTCACTATCAAAGTTTACTCATTTTCCCAAATAGCTTAGCTGTTTCTTAAAGCCCCTTCCCCAGAAGTACCTATATTCTCAACATATTGTATGCAAAATGTTTTTTTAGCATGAAAGCACTATGTTGTGGATGGTTTATACATTTCACTGCAGCCTTCTCAAGCCATATTTATCTTTCTGTTTTTTACTTGTGTGTGGGGGGGCGTGCTCAGACTCATTGAGGAATAACAGTTCAGTTAACTGAACTTGATGACTACAGGAGTTGAAGTCATGTCTGGGTTATAGTAAGGGTGCTTGCTGTGAACTAGTGATGGGAAAAGCGTGCCAGCAGGAGAACCCACAGATAGAGTTGGTGTAATGTTGAGGCTTTTTGAGAGAAAAGAATCTGTAATAAACTGGAAAATGTTGAAATTGGGTTGTGGGGGATAACTCAGTGACTAGGAGCACTGCTGTGCAATCATGAAGACCTGAGTTCAGATCCTTAGCACCGCATAAGAGTGAATCCTATGGCTCTGAAGCTGAGGAGAGTTGGGATAGTGGAGACAAAGCTGTCGGGGCTTGTAGGCCAGCTAACCTCCGTGAACAGTGGTGAGCCCCAGATCCAGTGAACCCTGCCTCAGAGTAACAAGGTAGAGAATGATAGAGCGGGAAAGTTGATGTCCTCCCCTGGCTTCCGCCCCTGCATGGGCTTACACAACACTATTCACTCTCGCACACAGCATAAAAAGAACAGGAGGCTTCTATGGCCAGAGCAGATGGGGGAGAGAGAGGAGTAGTAGGTTAGTGGGGACAGGAGGGGTTAATTGTGACAGATAGTGGCTTTCAAACTTTAGGGTGACTGGAGTCATCTGCAGGGTTTATTATTTTGCTGCCTTCCAAGCCCTCCTGTAGTTTCTGGTTCTATAGATATGAGTAGGGTCCTAGAAATTCTTTTCTGATGGCTTTTGGGTTTTCCTCTTGAAGAGGAAGCAAAATTCATTGAAAGTAAAAGTGGGGAGAGGATTGGGATTTTGAGGAAAACAAAACAGAACAAAGAATCCCAGCACTTGGGAGGCAGAAGCAGGAGAACCCCTGAGTTTGAGGCCAGCCCAGGCTACATAGGTCCAGGCCCGCCAGGGAATGCATAGGGAGACCCTGACCTAAGGAAATAGAGTGTAAGTGTTGGCAGTGTTAATAACACGTGAAGTTGTGGCAGAAGAGGATGGAGCATGGTATAACGTGTTGGGAGCTTGTTACTTTCCCTTACCACTGGTCTGTCAGAATCCAGCCCCCATTTACAAGAAAACAAACAGGGTCAGGTTTCTGCCCACCAACCACAATTCTACCTAAGGTCTGCTGGAACTGTTAGGGAAACATGAGATATTTATTTCTACTTCTAAGGAATGATACGCCTAGAGTCTTACTCCTGCCCTGAAAAAAATACAGGGCAAGGAAAAGCTCAGAGGCTACTTGGGTGGAGTGGCAGTGACTTGCATTCCCAGAATGTGCCCTGGGCAACAGCACATGCGTATCTTCTGTGCCTCTTGTGCTAAGTGTTAAGATAGGCCTGGGTTCTGTCCCGTAGGACCATTTTGAAGAGATAAAGAGACCTCATAACAAGCAGCGAGGAGTCAGAACATTTGGGCTGATGGAACGGTTTCAGAAAGCCATCCAGAATAATGCAGTATCCATCAGAGACGGACAGACTTCCCCTTTGAATGTCCACCAGACCATTGGTCAAAGAACCATCGAGGCAAACCATACTTGGACTTCCTTGTCTCTCCTCAGTGCTTGTGCCTGGAACAGTCAGCAAGGAGGTGGGAAAGAGTTATGGAGAGCAGGGATCTTTCCTCCATTCCCCAAAGCAACCTCCTTGACTTAGGCGAGGCAAAGCTGGGAGGGGCCAGTTATTTATTGTTACATAGAATTAGACATTCTAATTTAGTTTACTCCTTGAGCTGATTATAGACTGTCAGTTAAGTAAGAATATGACAGTAGGGCTGAACAGATGTTTCTGTGGTTGAGAGCACTGACTGCTGTTGGAAAGAACACAGGTTCAATTCCCAGCATCCACAAGTTGGCTTATAATCTTCTGATGGTAGTCCTTGGAGATCCAGTGCCCACATGGCTTCCGGGCACACCAGGCTTACACGTAGTTCACAGACATACATGCAGGCAAAACACTCGTAAAACAAACTAAAAGTAAAATAAATAAATGAGTGAATGAATGAATGAATAAGAAGAGTATAGGCTTGCTGCAGCCTTTCTCCACAGCAGAGAAAGAGTTAACTACTCTTTCAGGGCTGTGGGAGACAAGAAGGAAGTTGGGTATGGATGTCAATCTAGACCTGGGTCATGTTCAATGTCCCTTTTAGAGCTCTCCAAGCAGTGGTGTTCTGCAATTATTCGTGTGCTCCTGATTTTGTTCCCGTAAAACAGTCCTAAGAGAGAACACAGTTCCAAAAGAAACAGTGCGATCTTGGCAGAGACAGCTCAGCTCCAAGCACTCACCCGTTACGTAATCACACAAAGCCCTCTGCAGCTTTTCAGAGACTGGTAATTAGAGCCTTTGATTACCAGGTCATCCTTCCCAGGTGAGTTCTCTAACTAGCCACCTGGTTGTAGGACTTTTGACTACTGCAGTGATTGCTATGGGGCTCTAATTGTCTTTGCTTCCCAAAGCAATCCATTTTCCATACTGCCAAGTGATCTCTATGAAAATGTAAATCAGATTATGTGACCTCTCTGCATAAAATCCTTCAATGGATTCTCATTGCTTGAGAACAAAAGAAAGACTCCTTCCTTCCCAGGTCCAGTGTTGTCTTACCCAGGCATAGTTCTGCAGTCCAGCTGCATCTTAACTCACTCTTCCCCTCCTCAGTACTAACAGCCGGAGCTTGCCAAGCCCCTACGTCTATACTTGCACCCTCCATCTTCCTAAAATACTCTTTCCCTTAGTTAACTCATTTTCTTCTTCCAGATATCCTTACCAGTGACATGTTTATCTTTCCTGCAAAAAAAAAAAAAATCAGTGCTATTTTTCTGGGCACATTAAAATTAAACTATATTTTCCAGCACTGTACATTAGGCAGGCCAGAGATAGTCAGAGTGGTGTTTTCATACCAGACAAAGAAAGTGAAAGGCAGATGAGCCTTTTCTGTTTTCTCCTACTCCCTACCTAGGAAGGACAGGTTCTGAAGGTGATGGAGTCATAGGATACAAGAAGTTTGGCTATTTTAGGAGAAAACTGGATTCTGAAACAGAACTAAACCCCTTAAGCTAATGAATGTGAGCATGTTACAGCAATTGTCATTATGCATCCTGGATATATCTTCTGGTCCACTTTACCACAAAATCCTGTTTCCTGTTGGGGGCTTCAGCATTTATCTTACCATGTGCCAATCTGTACTTTGTAACTGTCCTTCTTTAAAGATTTTCTTTTATTTCTTAATTACATATATGGGGTTATGTATGTGTGAGTGCAGTGACTAAGGCCAGAGAAATGGAATTTCTTGGAGCTGGAGTTATAGGCAGTTGTGAGCTGCCTGATGACGGTGTGGAAAATTGAACTTAGGTCCTCTGCAACTCTTAACTCCTGAGCTATCTTTCCAACCCTTCATCCTACTTTTAAATGAAGAAAAATAATGCTCACATCAGAAAACAGAAATATTTATCCATTATTTGTGACTTAAAAGATCCCATCAAATGTTTTAAACATTTACATTTTTTCCTAACGTAACAAGGAACCTGAAAGATCTTGGCTTTACTTCAGGAGCTCAGAAGTGTTCCAAGTAAGGGCTTTGTGCTTCTCTTGGTGTCCTAATTCTTGCAGTCACAGGTGCATTCTTAGTTAGGCAGAGACACCATACTAGACTTCTTGGATGTCTCTCGGATTGCCACAGCCTCCTCCCCTACCCTCCACCCTCCTATTGGCTTCACTTCAAGGATCTTTTCACTTGTTAGTACTCTGGTATAAATATGTTATGTTCTCTATGATGACTGAATCCAGCCTAAATAAAAAAAAAAAACCCTTTAAATACATTTTCCTTCTCTGCCACTTCCCACATTTCAGTAACTTATCAATAGCTCCTAAGTGTCAAACTGTTCTCTTCAGTTCCGTGGGGGAATCTGATCTCTTTTTGGGGGGAGGTGTGTCAATACAGGATTTCTCTGTGTAACAGTCCTAGCTGTCCTAGAACTAGCTTTGTAGACCAGTCTGGTCTTGAACGTATAGAGATCCACCTGCCTCTGTCTCTGCCTCTGCCTCCTGAGTGCTGGAATTAAAGGCGTGTGCCACTACCGCCCCAAGGAAAATGATCTCTTTTTTTTTTTTTAAAGATTTATTTATTGTGAACACAACATCTTGCTTCCATTATGTCTGAACACCAGAAGAGGACACCAGATCTCATTACAGATGGCTGTGAGCCACCATGTGGTT